GAAAGAAAAGAAGAATATGGCAGATACGAGGCAGATATGGTACCACCACAGGGGGCATGAGGTGTTGTCTTAGTGTGTGTGATCAGGCATGTTATGTCGAATTCTGTATTTATAGTCTGAAACCCTGTTCAAAGCAACAGAAGCCAAAAAAGCTTTGGGGAATATCTAAGCTGGGTGGGGGAAATCCCTCCAAAAATCTGCTTCCAGTCTCAGGCCTTAAGTAACTGACAGCTTCCATTTCCTCTCTCTTGGGACGCCTGGTTCCCAGCCACCATGCTGTGAGGAAGCCCAAGCCACCCTGTGGAGAGGTCCACATGGAGAACCACAGCCAGCAACAACCAGCCAACAATGTGTGTGAGCCATCTTGAGAGTGGAGTCCCATTTGAGCTGCCCCAGCTGACAGCATGAAGCACCAATGAGTTGTCCTGCCAAGCCCTGCCCAGACTGCAGATTTTTGAGCAAAATAAATTGTTTTACACCACTAAGCTTTGGGGTGGGTTTTTTACATAGTCATAGATTAAGCATAGTGAAGTGCACAGATCCTAAATGCTCAGCAGAATGAACGTTTAAATATGTATAAAACCATGTAACCATTAACTAGATCAGATACAGAATATGTGCATCTTTCCAGAAGGTTCCCTAGTCAAATAGCTTCTTGAAATGCTATCCAGGCACCTGAACTATTCAGTTCACAGTTCTGGGCAGCACAACATTTATTTTTTCTCAGCTATGTTTCCAAACTTAACTGAATTAGAAACACTCTCTTCAGCATCATCGATGATATAAAAATAAGCTCTGGTGTGTAGGCCAGAAAAGAGCGAAGGCTCAAATGGAAGACAACCAGACTTCAGTCTGTAACCTCTGAGAAGTAGGTCGGCAGGAAAATGAGCTGATCTGCTCTTAAATCTCCCGTCAGCAAAGTCACCTCGTAAAATTCAAGTGCATAGGGTGCTGTCTTAATACCTGTGATCAGGCCTGCGAGGGCTAATTTGCTATTTACGTCCTCAACCCTGTCCAAAGCAACAAAGGTCAAAAAGGCTTTGGGGAATCTTTAAGCTGGGGGAAGGAGACTCCCCAAAATCTGCTTGGCCAATTGCTTTACTTCAAACTGTGGGCTGATTTCCATTAATCACATTTGGCCCTAATTACCCTGGAGCAGCCTTTCTTCCTCTGGCCTGAAGCAGGAATTTTAAGGGGTTCCTGACAAAGCAGGTGTCTGAAACCAAACAATAGTGGAGGCTCCAGGAAAACGCTGAGTGAGGAGTCCATCCCCAGTCCTCTCCTGCCTGGAGACTCAAGTTTCAGGCTTGCTTGTGATCTCCCCAGGTAGGAACCCGAGTTCCTCCACTAAATAGATTTTCCTTTTGTTGTCACATTAATTTGCAACTCATTAATAGTGACAGAAGTGAGGTACTGCACCGATGCCATTTGCATATTCATGAGTGACTTATTATTAAACAAATAAGATTTTCCTATCTTCGAGAGCACCCAAAGTAAGGCTGAACAGTACATTACACCGGCCCCGATGCTTTATTCTCTCTTTAATATGTTAATACATGCAGTTGATTTCTTTAAGTAAATACGCATCTATAAAACAACACGTACTTTCTGAAAAAGAAATCATTTAAATAATAATCCATTAGCAAAGTTGGCAACAATTTAAGAGGAGAAACCCATTAATACCAACGCGTGGGAATAAATTTGCAAATTTTAACTGGGTTGGGTGGTGGGTTACCGACGACCAAAGAGGAGGACCCGCGAGTGTGTGAGCGCTTAGAAAAATATTTTAATGAGTCTCCGGACATCAGGACTGGAATCCTTCGCGTTTCAGGTGCCGGTTCTCCCTGCAGGTCGAAAACTGACTGAGTCCTAATGCGGATCAGCGTTTTGCCGGCGTCCTCTGGAGATTGGAGTCGTGTGCCGAAAGCAGGCCAGACCGCCACGTCGACCCCGCGGCTTTTACGGTGCCCATCGGTCCCCCCATCCGCAACGGATTAAGCGGCGTGGGGGCGGGGCAGAGGCTCGTCTCCAGGAGAGGCTCCCCCACCGAGCTGGGACTGGTGCCCTGTTCTCCCTTCCCCCTTCCCCCGTACGGGTTTCGTCATAGCCGGTTCTTTCCAGCTCGGGTCAGGGTGGGCTCGGCGACGCGGAGCGCGGGGCCAACCGCGCACCCTTATCTCGGCCGAGTCAGACACTCGCCGCGCGGAATCTGTTGACATTTACTATTGTTCGCAGGAGTCCCGAGCGCGGGGCGGGGGCGGGCCGAGGCGAGGCTAGGAGAGAGGGCGGCGAGTGTGGGGCCTGCGGGCGGCGTGTGTGTGTGTGTGTGTGTGTGTGTGTGTGTGTGTGTGCGCGCGCGCGCGCGCGCTCTCGTGGAGGGGGGAGGGGCCGTCTTCACGGAAAATAAAAGTGGCCGGCGGGCCCGGAAGCTTCCAAGCCAGCTCACCGGCCCACGCCGGGAATTGAGGTTGTGGTGGTGGGGTGCGCAGGAAGGAAGACGGGGTAGCCGGCGGTGGGGTCCGCTGGGGTCGGGGTGGGGGCAGCTCCAGCCGCACGGCCCCCAGTGACCCGCAGGACACAAGTACATTTGTGCCGAGCCGTGGTGGGGATTAAAGTGCCATACGGCCCGAGCGAGGGGGGCGAGGCGGGTGGAAAACAACTCCCCGCGCGCACAAAGCGCGCATTGTTCCAGCCACCTCCATTATGCCGCGCTGCAGCCAAGAGCCCGTTTCGCAACTGCCCTCCCGGCGCTCGAGCGCGCGCGGCGCGCACACACACACACACACACACACACACAAACACACACACGCACACACACAGAGGAATTCGCCCCGGCCGACGCCGGGGGTGAGTGCGCTCCGCCAGGACAGGGAGTGGCCGTCGGGGCGCGGGGCGCCGGGGGGCTCGCAGGCATCTTTTTCAGGTCGCCGGCCTGTCTATTCAGGGCTGGCCTTTTTAATGTCTTCTCTTCCTAATCGCCTCCCCGGCACTTTTCCGTTTCTCTGGCTCCTCGGGCCTGCCCCGAGCGAACCCCGGAGACTGGAGCTCCCCAGGGGAGGCGGCGACGGCGGGGGTGGAGAGTGGCGAGGGCGCGCTCTCAGTCGCTGTCACCCGAGGATCGCAGCCCCAGGCGCGCAGCGCTTGCCTGCTCTGCTGAGGACACGTGCGCGGGAGGAACGGGGAAAGCATCCCGCCTTTCAAGGAGAGGCTCCCGGAGCGCCCCCTCCCCGGGTTCTCTGGCATTCCAGGATTTCCCCCAGTTCGGAGCGGGAGCTGCGGAATCCCGCGCCGCGTCGTCTGGCCTGCCTGCCCTTTCGTGCCAGGTGGGCCAGCTCGGCCACCCCCACCCTAACCACTCCGCTGCCCGGGCCCTGTCCTTCTCCCCCCTCTCCGGCTTTCATCGCACTGGATAGGCGCCGAGACGAATGTAAGGCTTGCCAGCCTCTTGGGACCCTGTTCTACCTTGGGAGCGAAGCGGGGGCGATACAACCAAACCCCACCCCCTGCCTCCAGTCGGGCCCTCCCGGTGGGCAGGTGGGGAGCGAAGGAGCCGGAGCGCGGCGAGGTAGCGCGGTCTGGTTTCCTTTACGTTTACAAGCTATAAATAAACTTCCCCTTGGGCGGATGCGCGCTGTGTCCAAGGGCGGCTTTCCGCCCGAATCGGGCGGGTGGTTTACGATCTGGGCCGGGAGCTGGTCCTAGCGCAGCCTGAGCCCAGGGTGGGGCGCTGGCTCCCGGAGAGCTCAGAGGTCGGCCAGGAGTGGCCGAGTGAACCTCCTTTTCCCCGAGGGGCTAGGGCGCCTCTGCACTGAGGCCCGAGGGTGGGGCTGGATGATTTATGAGCCGTCACCCCACCCCGCCCCTACCGTTTCACTTGTTTTCCTCATCTTCTCCAGCTCAAACCCAGTTCCCAAAGCCTCATCCCCAACCTTGCCCAGCGACGATTTGGCAATTTCAGGCTGTTGGAGCGCTGTTCCGGCTCCTGCAGCGGCGGGGCGCGAGGGCACAGGGCGTGGGTGAGGCCCCGGGTGCTTTTCACCAACCGCGCTCCTGCCCGGGGCAAGGAGCAGACTAGCTGAGCCCGACCAGGCTGGGAGGCCGAGTGCGGCCTTGGCCGGAGAGGCTGGGAGGAAGGGCTGGCCGCGCGACTCCGGAAACCACGGGCCTGTCGGGTGGATCCCTGACCCTTAAGGTCACCGGGCGCGGGGAAACCGCCTGCCCACACCAGAGCAGAGGCCACTGCACCAGTCGGAACCAAGCCGCAAGAAACCCAGGAGGAAACCCAGAGGTCACGATAGAAGACGCAGCGCGGAGGCCACCACGAGTCCCAACACTGTCTTCCACCACAGGGGTGCCGTTTCCCTCGGCTTTGGTGCTCACTCTGCGAGCGATGCAGGCAAAGCATCAACGAGTCTCCCGCACACGTGTGCCTGTTGTGTGTGTGTGGTGGCTTGTGTATGTGTATGGGCCTACGGGGATAATAAAAGGAATGGGGTGCTTTTGGCAGCCTCTACGTTTCTTTCCGCTGAGACTTGGGAGGCCAGGGGGCAGAGGCGGCCAGCCGAGTGGGCGAGAGCCCGGCCTGGCGTGGGGAGGAGGCGTCTTCCCGTCGGGAGGCTCGGTAGCCTGCTCCCGCTTCCCTCCCGTCCCCTCCCCGCGCCGCGCCGGCCGCAGCCCGCAGGCTCGCTCCTCTGCCCGCTGTTTGTTTAACCCTCAACCCCTCCGCGGCAGCTGCGGGCAGAGGGATTCCTGGCCGAGCTAATCCAGGGGCTGGACCCCAACCCCGGTCGCCAGGTGGGCCCTTACCCCTCCCGAACCTCGGGGCCGAAGGTCCCAGGGTGCCGGCACCCCCGCAACCCAGTGGGCCTGTGGGCCTTCAGGGGTCGACAGAAGGGGACCCTTGGCAGAGTCCCCATTGTTCCCCCGGGGCTGGGAAGCTGACTCACGCTCTGAGCACAGAGCCGTGCGGAGTGTTTTCTCGGTAGCCTTTACCCGAGTGCTTTATTTAGACAGGCTTTATTTACAGTACACATGTTTTCGGCTCGTTATTCTGGAGGCGGGAATGGAAACTGGGCAGAGCAGGAGTTCTCTCCGTCAGCCTCACGTTTGGAAGGAGTTGAGACTCAGCGGAGTCGAAGGATCCCACTCCCGCTTGCTGTGTTCTCTAGGGAGATAATGTCGAAGAAAACAGTGAAGGGTGGGGGGGGGAGTGGAGGGCGCTGGAGGACGTCCAGCGTCAGCCTTTCCCATTGTGCCCAAACTTCAAAATGCGTAACACCCGGAAGAAGGTGAGACAGACATCCTCATGCCCATTTTAGAGGGTTCAGAGAGGGCTAGGGCCGCAGAAGGTCACGCAGACAACAATCGGTGGTGTGAAAAGCGTCTTTAACTCCATTTTGGGGGCTTCTTCCTCATGGAGTTAGACCTCCAGAGTTACCCAGGTCTTGGTCTCTCTGGATTCCAGGAAGGGTCTTCTTGGCGCATCGAGCAGAGGTCAAGGCCAGCCAGGCGGCTGGAAGGCCTCTGGTTGCCGGTCTGCAGTCAAGCATCCTTTTTGGCAGCAGCTCAGTAAGTGGGGTGGTCCAGTTAGGTCCTGCAGGAAATTGTCTGAGCTAGATTAAATATTTTACAAAATCTTCTGGGGGCCTACGGTTGACTTGAAGCTGGCAATGTTAAACCAAACAAAAGTTAACGAGTTCTCTCCTGACTTTTTAGGTACAGTTCAAAGAAAACGGTGGGTCGTGCTCTTTACAGGAAGCAAGTTTAATGGCGTTTCCTCTCATTTTTCTCCACTTCATTCTTTCTGCTGATTGCAGAGCCTCATAGCCTCTCTGGGGCTGGGGTGGCAGAAAGGCCTGTCCGGGGTTCGTCTTTGAAAGGGCTGCAGCGGCCTTGAGCTCCTGTGGCCACTGAATTCCATGCTTCTGACTCCTGCTGGGAGTAAAATGCAGCCTCACGGGAAGTTCATGGTCCTGGGAACCACATGGGACGATGTGCAGACGCCTGAAGCCTCTTCGGGCCTTCCCGTAGGGTAACCCGTCAGGGGTGGTGGTGGTGCGAGGATAGAAAGACCTACACTTCAGGTCTCACGACCTCATAGCGTTTTCCTGGCTTTCTCTCCCTCTCTTGAGTCTTTAGCTGCAAATCCTGCACTGCTTTCTGAGGGTTGCCCTCCGTGTTTCCCTCCCTGAATTGAACACCCATTTGTCTATGCCCCCTGGCTTGAGTCTGACTGCTCCCTTGCATGATGCCCACCTCATTCCCATATTCAAGCTGCAGGGCGGAAGCTCTGCAGGCCAGAACTGAACTGCGGCCCTTCGAGAGAAGGAGGCGGCTTGACCTTTGCAGGAAGGGAAGAGAAGGCAGATTCACAGCTCGCAGCACTGCAGGGAGACACAGAGCTACACGGGGAGCCGCAGGCATTGCCACAGCCCCAAGCAGCTCTAAGGGGAGCCTGTAAGAGGAAACCAGCTCCGGGAGGCGAGGGAGCTTTGTGCGGCGTGTGTGCCCCAGCGAGATGCACAGGCCGCTCAGCGAGAGAGGAACTGCCTGGGGGAGCTGTGGCTGCTGCCAGCTCAGCGCAGGGTGGGGGTGGTGTGGGGGCTCAGAGAGGCTGGGGGTCTAAGGTGGGGGCTGCCGTGGAGGATAAGGCCTCTGGAGAAGACAATAGCTAAAAGAAGCTGCTCTGAAGAGGCCCAGCCACCTGGGTTATGGCTCATCAGATGGGGGGCAAGGTCCCAGCAGCTCAGGAAAGTATGCCCTAGGAAAGATACATTTGCCAAAGGATGCAACCTGGAGCCTGGATGGGTTTTTAAACATTCATTTTTGGGAGGTGGTGTCTTTGAGACAGAACCTTTCCAGGGAAAAATAGCCCTGTACTTCTAAATCCCAGGGGACCCCAGGCAGTGACCTACTTAGCGGGCAGCCCAGGCCCACCTAGGGTTTGTGTCGGGGCAAGGAACTCCGGAGGGTGTAGCCCACCTAGGTCCCTTCCCAGGCTGTGGGGGAGGGGTGGGCAGTGAAGGGGTGTGCCCGTTGGATATAGAGGCAGCTGCCATTTGAGGGTGGGGGTGGGGAAGGTGCTGCCTCAGCTTCGGCCCTGGAAACCATTGTTTGAGTCTGCACCCAGCGCTTCTCCAGCAGGGCTAATTCTCCACGTGTCCAATTTTCGTGTCTGAAAAAAAGCAGCAGCACAGAAACAAAACCATATGACAGGACTGGGCTGCAAACCTTGAAGAATCGAGAGGGTGGGGGAGGTGGTGGCTGTGAAGGGGGAGGGTAAATGATGTGTGTGTGTTGGGGGTGGGGTGGGGTGGCGCACAACTCAAAGTTTCGGCTATTTCCTACCCGATCTCACCTCCCGGCGTGCTCATCTGATGCAGTTCCAACTCCCTCAAACGATTCCGCAGTCCCGGCGCTTGCGGGAGAGTGGAATTACAGTCTGGAGGAAGCGAGGTGCTGCCGCGAAAGGCGACGCACCGAACCCGGGAGTGCGGAAGCGCAGGCCGGCAGCAACGCGACCCCTGGGCCGGCTCCGGGTCGTGGTCAGTCTCCTGCGGCTCCGTCCTCCTCCGGGTCCGGAGCAGAGAGATCGGTCAAGGCAAAACCCTCTGCAGGATGGGGGAAGGGGAAAGAAAGGAGACAAGGCTTTTCCCAGAAAGCAGAGGGGAGCCCGTCTCCCTCTCCGGGGCGCTATGCTGCCCCCATCCACTGCGCCCCGACCTCCCTGAGATCCGTTTTCCTTAAAAAATAGCCAAAGGCCAAACATTTAGCTACGGGTTCAGCGTTCCCCCCACCCCCACTCCGTGCCCTCTCTGAGTTCTCTAAACCCACGAGGCGCTTTAGGCCTGGCGTTCCCCGCCCTCCCCCGCTTCCGCCAGTGCACGAGCCAGTGGCGGTCACTTCTGCGACTCTTTGGAGGCCGACGGCCGGGAGCTTTGTTCTCCCGGGGCTTTCTTCCTCCCCCTTCCCCTCCTCCCTCCAAGTCATCCAGGTCTCCACACTTTATCTGCGCCCCCCGCTTCCACGTCCGCACACACAAACAACCCGGGCGCATAATCTCATTAGCATAGGCCTCGGTCTCGGTGACCGCGAGTCTCCCTGCGCGCCCCGGCGCAGCGCTCTGTTTCGCGGCAAGCCGGAGTTTCCACCATGCATGCGCCCGGGGGGGGGGGGGGGGCGGGGACGGTCCGGGGGACAGTGTTGGCTTTGGGGCAGGATTGGGGCAGGCCGGGAAGAGGAGGTTGCCCGGGGCGGCGGGAGTCGTTGGAAGAAGGCCCCTCCCAGCGCCCAGTTGCCTTGGTCCCCGGAGCAGATGGCAACTTTGTCTCCTGGTGTGCGCGCAGCGACTTTCAACACATTCAAAAGGCAGTGCTCAGGCTGTCGGGGAAGCCTCTCTGACATTCAGAACCGATTAAAGACCCGAGACGGTGCCAGGCGCAGTGAAGAGTTATGAATTAATCATGGGGGTTACCGATATCTGAGGCTCCCCAGGGCAGCCCCTCTATTATTAAGCAGCCCCCACTGCCCACTTCTGACATCCCCCCGCCCCCGCCGCAAAGGGGTAACCGCGGTGTCTTTTGCACTGCCCCAATTGACAGCCACCCGGTAACGTGAAAAGTGTTTGCCCTGCCACCCTCAGTGCGGTCTCAGGCCGGGACACTGGGCCTGTCAGACGCTCCCGGAGCAGCTCAGCCTTTGGGACAGGCCCGGACTGAGCGCTCCGCTCTGACCCGGGGTTGGGGTGGAGTGATGGAGTGGAGGCGTTCTCTGCCTCTGTGGCCCAGGTTCGGCTCCCTTCACCACCGTAGAAGGAGGTCCCAGATAGTGGGCGACGTCGGGGACCACCTACAACCTGGGTGCTTGTCCTGGGTCCTTGGAGCAGCGAGAAGCTTGTGTTTTCGCTTTGTGGCTCTGGCGATGTTCCAGATATGGAAAAACGGGGTTCGTGTGTGCCGTGAAACTCCGCACAGTCCCTGGGCCTCCTAGGAGGAACTCTCAGGTCTGGAGTCACCCTAAATGATCCGCACCCCTGGGAACCGAAGCACACATCTCGACCACCGAACTTGCCGTTCTGCGTATTGTTAAATCACGCACACCGTTCTAATCTCCCCTATTTATTTCCCAGGCCTGCCTGGCCACAGATTTCTGCAAGACGGAGCAGGCTTCGGGTTCCTCCTGCTTCCAGAGGGGCCATAAAAAACAGATGGTCTCATTAGGAACAATTTATGCATATATATTTCGAAGAGTTCAGCAGAGCCGGCGTAGGTTTGCAGCCCCTGCGTCAGGCAAGAGCAAAATATCACCACTTGCAAATGTTTCCAGTTTGCAAAATAATGGCCTATCCAAAGTAGCTAAGCAACGAATTACTCAAACACTAGAAGGTTAGATGCCAATATTATCACATTCGTCCTGTTTCTTAAACCGTCCTCCGCGGCCTTTGGATTTCGGAGGGAGGCTCCCGGGCCTCACACCCCTACGCCCGCGGCTTCCTTTCATGACTATTTCCAATCTCCAAGTCAAATCACTTATTAATTATAGAGGCAACTCGAGCAAACCCAATTACCCGTAGGCAGCCCTTCCCAGATGGGAAGTCTGTCTCGCACAGCTCCCACGGTGGCCCAATTTCTTCTGGGGAGGCTTCTTTTGCGTCCGATTTCTTTTTGTCAGTGGCCCGCCAGCGGCCCTGAATGTTTCCTCTCCCTGATTCTTCTTCCTAGAGGCAACTCCATTTTCTTACCCTGTTCCCTTTCCTTCCTCCAAGAAGACATCCCCGCCCCTTAGGAGCCGCTGCCTTCAGGCTAAATTTACCGCCGCGCCAGGTTTAAGCCTTAGGCGTCGCAGATCTGGCGTAGGAATGGCGGAAGCGGTAGACAGAGCCCTATTCATTTGCAAAGGCGGAAGGCAGAGTGATTCGCTCGGTTGGCTGCCCCTCGCCTCGTTTGTCCTCACTTCAAACGTAGCTGGTGGCTTGGGCTCACCTCGATTTGTGAAATGTGTCCTAGGACTCCGCCAGGCTTACCCCGGCGGGAAAAATCCCACCTAACTTTTAATGTCGTCACAGTTCTTACCATATGGTAATAATAATGCTAACCACCAGGACTTTGTGCTAAGCGTTTGATATACACGTAAATCTTCTTTAAACCTCACAGCGACACTTACACGGTATCTCTCCCATTTTGTAGATAAAGAAACTGAGGTTAAGAAACTGGCCTCAAATCACACAGTTAGTTGAAAATGAAGCCCTTAATCCAAAGCCTGAGTTTGCATTTACAGCTCCAAAGACACCTTCCAGAAGAGTACAAACCATAGGGGGTGGTTGTGTGTGTGGGGTGAGCTGTTTGCTTGCATCTGAGGAAGCCTGGGAGTGCAAAGGCCTCGGAGGTTGCAGACAGCAAGTCTAGGCGTCGAGCTGCGAATAGCAAAGAACGCCGGCGGGTCTCCAGAGAAACAGGCGCAACTGGGATTTAGGGCGCTAGGGGAGCTGTGCTGGCTAGGGGCAGAGTTTTGGGGTGAACCGCGGCTGCTGGGTCTTGCAGCGCGTGGAGATGGGTACTGCCACCCTTTTGCGACCACCCTCTGCTGTGGTGCCCTTGGGACACGCTGTGGGGTGCGGTGAACTCGCCTTGGCGATCTTGGGGGCGCGCAGGGTGCGGGGAGCTTCGGGAGGGTCCCCAGGGGCAATTGGCCTCGGCCGCGCTGCCGGGGCGCCCTCGCTAAGATGGAGCCAGCAGTTCCGTGGAGGAGGGGAGGGGAGGAGAGGAGAGGAGAGGAGAGGAGAGGAGAGGAGAGGGAAGCCGAGAGAGGGATGCGCGGGCGAGCTGGTAACCGTCTGCAGCGAGGAGTGTAATTGCCCCTGTGACCGCGGGCGGCGAGGGCGGGGCGCTCGCCCGGCCTCCTCCCTCCCACTCCCCCCGCGGCGCGGAGCTGGCTTTTGGCAGAGAAGGCGCGGAGCACCTCCAGGGCCTGGCCGGCTCAGCGCTAGGCGAGGCCACTGCTAGCCCTCACCGCCTGAACAGCTGTCCCCCGCGCTCCCGCCTGGGGCCTTCCACAGCGCGCGGCCCACTTCCCTCTGCCCCCAGGCCCGTTCAGGCAGTAACCTCCCTCTTCTTTAGCGTGCGCCCTGGCCGGATCCTGGGGCTGTCAGCTGCGCCCCGGTGACCCCGCCGTCCCTTCCCTGCAGAGCGACGTTGAGGGGGCGAGGCGGCCACCCTTGGATGCCAGGTGGCCTACGTGACCCTCCACCTCACCCACTGGCCAGGGCGCACCCTGAAGCAGGCGCGCTTCGGGTCGCCCTGGGCCACCACAGCTCAGCAAGGCCGACTTCGGCTGCGCGGCACTTGGCGGTGGGTCCCCGGGTCAGAACATAGAGGGGTCATCGGGGCAGTACCCGCGTTCCCCGATCTCCCTGCGCATTCGGCTTGTGAGCCTTATCCTTTAGTGGGGTTCCTGGACCCCGGCCGAACAGAGGGGGCCGAGCCGGAGGTGGGGAGGGAGGCCGGGGCAGGCCAGGGATTCCGGAGTTTGTAACCCGTGTAGTTTCTGGCTTTCACGGCTCGTTTGAAATCCTCCCACAGGAAGATGTCTGCCAAGGAGGCCTGCGCGGCTCGGAGCCCCGCGCGGCCACCCGGGTGTGTGAGTGCGCGGTGAGCGTGTGTGTGTGTGTGTGTGTGTGTGTGTGTGTGTCTGCGCGCGCGTGTGCGTGCGCCCGCGATTCCCGGTAGGGGAGGGACACCCAGCGCCGGCACTTTCCCCGCGAGCGCTGCGAGTGTGGCTTGCGGCGCAGGGCCTGGCACCCCGGGCTCGCCCGCGCCCCGGCCTCGGCCCGATCGGCATCCCGCACCCTTCTAGCGCCTTCCTCCGTGCCCCCGCGGCAGGAACTGTTAACCCAGGCAGGTGACGGCGCCCCGGCGCCCGTTGTGCGTTGGTCTTTATACCTCGTGAGTTCAACACTAATGAGTTATGGGTTGGCCCACGAAAACATAATGTGTAAATTAGGAATTTAATGATGTGTAAGATTAAAAGCTGCGCAGGGTTGCATTTATTTAAGGCTGCCATCTTGTGTTCGCAGAGAAATTACTTGAACGACATTGACCCCCCTTGCCCAGAGGACTGGAAATGGCTCGGGGCCGAGGGTGGGTTGTGGGGTTCCAGGCTGTGGGACTTGAGGCCCTTCAGGGCTGTTGTAGGGTAGGAGGGAGGCCTGCGCGCGGGCTGGGGCTGACTTTGAGTGGGTCCCTTCGCAGGAAGCCTGTAGAGCGGCGGATTAAGACCCCTCCCACCCCATTCCCTTTTCTGGGTCCAGGATTGGCAAGACTTAGGGGGACCGTCAATTCCTGGAAAAGTGATTGCTCCAGCCTGTCTTGGTGCCCCTCTTACTTTGTTCTGATTGTTTCCAGAATTCAAAAGCACCTCTTTTTATACAGTTATGATTATATGATTGTCTTTTACCCATTTCTCTTCAGTTGCCCAAACCCAAGCTGCAGAGGTTGGATCTGCCCTCATTAACATAAAACCCATCCCCTGAGCTAACAGGGTTCCCCCAGATCCAGATAGGCCAGGACTCTGGATCCTGAATCCTCGAGTTTACACAAATTTGTGTCACTTGGTGTGAAATATTTTCTTCCTTTTTTTTGCAAATTTGATGGGAATTTGAAAGCAGAGAGATGCCCTACTCTTATGCCCTGACATTGGGGCTCCCTAACCTATCTATGCCTTCGTGGCTGGGCACAGGCCAGCAACCACCTCCACCTTTGTCATGTTGATACCCGGATGGTGTCTCTGGAACTAGGGAGATTTGTCTCCTGCAGTTTCCTTTCTCCAGCAAAGGCTTCTGTCACTGTTTGTGCCTTGAGGCTTCCTCCCAGGTGTTTCTCAGATCCAGGG